TGTGAACAGGGCTGCAGAGGTGAGCTGTGGATGGAGACACAGAGGTGAGCTGTGGATGGGGATGCAGAGGCGAGTTGTGGACAAGGATGCAGAAGTGGGTTGTGGATAGGGATGCAGAGGTGAGCTGTGGATGGAGACATAGAGGTGAGCTGTGGATGGGGATGCAGAGGCGAGTTATGGACAAGGATGCAGAAGTGGGTTGTGGATAGGGATGCAGAGGTGAGCTGTGGATGGAGACACAGAGGTGAGCTGCGGATGGATGGGGATGCAGAGGCGAGTTGTGGACAAGGATGCAGAAGTGGGTTGTGGATAGGGATGCAGAGGTGACCTGTGGATGGAGACACAGAGGTGAGCTGCGGATGGGGATGCAGAGGTGAGTTGTGGACAAGGATGCAGAAGTGGTTTGTGGACAGGGATGCAGAGGTGAGCTGTGGATGGGGATGCAAGGGCAAGTTATGGACAGGGATGCAGAGGGTGAGCTGTGGACAGGGATGCAGAGGTGAGCTGTGGATGGGGACGCAAAAGTGAGCTGTGGACAGGGATGCAGAGGTGAGCTGTGGACAGGGGCACAGAGGTGAGCTGTGGACAGGGATGCAGAAATGAGCTTGGATGTGCATTCAGAGATAAGCTGTGGACAGGGATGCAGAAATGAGCTTGGATGTGCATTCAGAGATGAGCTGTGGACAGGGATGCAGTGGTGAGCTGTGGAGAGGGATGCAGAGGCATATCTTGTCCCCTATACATGGCTGAGGTGAGCTCTCAGAAGCGCCAATTGTTAGAATTACATCACCTATTAGCTCCCTTTCCACCCACCTTGTTTTGTCACGGCACATATTATGAGGTGGATCACTTTGTTAACCTCCTAGCGGTATGATTATTTCATATTTTTGGTGCTGAAAGCGGTACAATTATTTTGCATGGAAATATGTAGTTTTTTTTTATTGTAGGCTGTAATTTTTAGGAATAACTCACTGAAATCTGTCTGAACAAGATTCTAAATCATACATTTAATTAAATAATATAATCAAACCAAAAACACTGAAATTTAAATATAGCGCCAAGTTCGCACATCACTGAGCAAAGTCGCAGAATCGTTTTCAGTGTTTGATGACGAATTTCTCCACGAATCATTATCACTCAATTCTGCAAGTGGTTCTGATTTCCTATGGGTGTTCTCTAGCTAATCTAAAACCGCTTTTGACCTAAAGGGACACTTTTTGGACGCCATGGACTTTTCTCAGTTTCCAGGCAGAAAGAACAATCAAAATGCAGACAGGGGACAGGACAAAGCACTAGGGACAAAATGTATGTGAAATGGGTTGAAACAGCAATGTTTTACTATGTAAAATCGTTTTGAAAAAAATTTAATTTTTTAAAAATTTTCAAATTTCCCGCCGCCGCCAGCGCCCGTACGTCCCGACGTCACAGGGACCAGAACACAGAAGCCGGATGCCGGCATCAGTCGGAGGAGATGGCCGGGGACGCTGCAGGGGACACATCGCGGGAGCGAAGGACAAGGTAAGTGCTGCAGGGAATCCCTATACAGTGCTGCATGGTAAGCCCGAGTGTAGCTCGGGGTTACCGCTTTTGGTATAGACATTTTACCCCGAGCTACACTCGGGAATACCGTTAGGGAGGTTAAGCAAGGGGGAGAGTTTATTTTTTTGTAATAATTTCTGTTATTTGTGTAGATGTCTTGAACTGCAGTGACTGGGTCCATTTTGTTTTTTGGTTAATTGATTTATTTATACTGTGATGAGATTTTTTAAAGTTTAAAAAATAAAAATACTAAATACCATTTTAAATCAATAATAAACGGCTGCATTTGATTTTATTCCACTGTTTTTATTTATTCATTGTTGTTTTTTTCTGCTTGCTGCCAACGATTCCATGCAACAGGGCTGCCACTTTGGTTTATGGGGGGGGGGAAGATGTCCATGAGAACACAAGAAGTGGGCAGCCAAAAATAAAAGGACGGATGCAAATGTGGACAGTGTGAACCCTCATATGCTCAGATCGAATGTGCAGAAGAATTGATCATGAACAGGGAAACAGTGCAGCAGATTATAACATAGGATTAAGGCACTCTTTAAAATTCTGAACATTCCTGAGGCACCCTTTAAAATTATGGAAAGTCTTGAGTCACCCCATTGTAAAATGTGAAAAATGATTCTAATAGTTCATATAATGCAGCAACATCCACACATGTAGGACACCCAATATTATAAGTGCTTTATTCTTCCAAAGCAAATACACTTTTGCAGATTGGTGCTGACTAGTATTCCAATGTTTCTCTTCTCCCTCAATTTTTCTTCATCACTGAGCTAATGTAAACCCAGCACTGATGGAGAAGGGCAGGGGAGGGTCAATCTAGGATGCTTTGTAGGCAACTGACATTCTCCTTATCAACTGATGTAATTGGCTGTCAGGATGCCGATGGCTAGAAGGTGGTAATGGTGCACAATGAAAACCTGTGACTTTGTGTAACAAAAAGGCAGGCTTGTTCCACCTACTGACTTGTATACAAGTTTTGGGCAATTTTTAGGCATTTTGCCAAGGCACCCTGGTTGAGAAAAGCTGTCTTGAATGTTCACAGAAGATCAGAAAGAATGTTGTCTTCAAATTTCATCTTATCTTTTCCAAAAATGCAGAGGTGTTTGATAGGGTTATTACAGGTCCATTCTAGGAATTAAGTGGGGTTCACACTGAGAATATTGGAAAACCAATTGTCCATGAAAGTGCATATCATGATCTGACCACCGTTACCACCTTCTTCTGGGTTGTTCTTTGCTTCTGATTATGCATGCTTTTTTTCTATTTTTATTTCTTTACGATTGCTGTACACATTGAGTGAAAATTGGGTGTTGTGCTCAAGTACGATAAAAGCTTTCTATCTTGCATCTTTGCTTTTTCTTTGTCCGAACAGTTGGAATCAGCTGGTGTAAGCACTATACTAACAATCAGATAATTGACTGATTGTTCCTTGTAGAGAATTTTTCTTCTGTAGCACCTTAGGAGTTGCTGAGTTTTGGGTCTCCCTATAGTCCTGTACAGCCAGGCAACACACATTTTCTTCAGACCTTGCATGCAGGAGACAGTAAACAGTCCTTGAGCTTGTTTTTTTTTTTTATTTTATTAAGGGTTAATAAACTTGGATGGGGTTGAGGGATGTATGGGATGCCCAAGGAACAGTAAATTGAGGATAACTTCTTAACAAGTCCAAAGGCAGAAATGTATCTTCTTGGAGAGTTCTCTGAAAACTGATCAATCCTGAAGTACTGACAGCCAATCAATTTCTTGAAGACCAAAACTGTCAGAATAGTAGATATCCCCAAATGACCCCTTTTTGCAAAATAGACAGTCCGACGTACTTCATAAGATGCATGGCAAGTTTTTTGAAGCTGTAATTATTTTGTCATAATTTTTTTGGAAAATGAAGAAATTAAAAAAATAATTTTCACAATTTTCTTTTTACATACTGTCACCAGTGCAGTACAGCGTCATCATATAACTGGTTTGGCGGTGATCAGGGACACTGGCTGGTGACAGTTCTTTTTATTTTTTATTACATTTTTTCATATTGCACTATGACCAAAGTAGTATAATGTTACCATAGTAACATAGGACTACTTTGGGGAAGTGATCAGTATTTTTTTTTTTTTTACACAATTTGATTGCTTATAGCAAAGCATTTCTTTGCTATAAGCAAGCATTTAACTGAATTAAATCGATTCATTCAGTTTTTTTTTTTTTGTGATTAGCTGTGATTGGGCATGGCTAATCACATGACACAGATGGGCTGTGATTGACCCAGCCTGTGCATGTGACCACTGTGACCATTCACAGCTAGACACACTTGTATACAATGGATGGCATGAAAGGAAGCCATCCATTGTTTTACAATTGTCATGTGACCTGCTGTGATTGGTCACATGGTACTAGCAATAGGGCGGTACACAGATCTGTAATTGGCCGTGTCTGAGGTAAACGGCAGGTGACAGATCTCGCCAAAGCGCTATCTGGGTAGAAGGTCATATGACGCCCTCCCGGAAGGACGAAGTATCCGCCCGGCTGTCATTTGACCATAGGCTGGGTGGCAAGTGGTTAATAAACACAAAAGCGGCTGGGGCTCTGCTTTATGTGTGCAGATCAGCCCCTCCTCACCCCCACCCACTGTCTTTCAGAAACTTTTCAAGCCTCTAGAGGAGGGCTGATCTACAAAGCCCTCAGCCCTGACCTAAAATGAACTGGCTGACTCACGCCCAGGCTGCTATCCATCCTCTATAAAAGAACTAGCTAGCTCCCCCTGGCTAACTAGAGTGGTGCTACACTTCTGATCTTCTTATAGTGTGTACCCAGCTTTAAATAATCACACCTTGTACATGGTGACATGGGTCCAAGCTGGATCACTACACCTGTATATAAAACATCCATACCTGGAATTCTTCTCCACACTGAAGTCCCCACGTGCTGCAATCCTGGGACAAACTGATTCGGGAGCACAAAGAACCAATCTAACACATATAAAAACAAAGCTATTGACACAGCAGGCAAAACACGTTTTTTCCTTTTAAAGTGTTAGTAAATATTAGTGATGAGTTAGTAGTGATTAGTTAGTAAATATTTTGTTAGTAAATATTAGTGATGAGCCTCTGAGGAGTCTTGTTCTGTTAAACAGGTAAACAGTATCTCAATAAAACGCAGAAGACCCGTGATACCGGGCTTTACAGTGTTAATAGCTTGTCTGAAGAGGATCGAGGACATAGACAGACAGCTGCTGATCGGATATCCCCGGCCGGTGACCCCACGCTGACAACACCCCCCTACAATGCAGTTCAGCCCCCTCCGCTGTCACAACAACAAACCAGAGCGGAGCATTGTGGGAAGTGACAGGAGCTTTCGGCGGGTTGTTAAAATGGCGTCGCCCTAGTGACGGTTAACGGCTGAGGTTGGTGCAGGAGACTGTGTAGGGGGTTCGCTGTTCACCGTGTTCTTCCGGAATGGCGACACCGGAGCAGAAGTCCCCAAATGTCTTGCTGCAGAACCTGTGCTGTCGTATACTTGGCAAGGGGGAAGGTAATGCGGCCCGCTCCGATTCATTCTCTCCATACTACTGGTAGCAGCCGCCCGGGCTGTGTGCTGCAGTCCTGATAGCTGGCCATGTCACTTCATCTGTGCACTGGACTGTGATTGCCGGGAGATTACAGGGCTTTATAGCCGGGCCTGCATTGTGGAAAGTGTTCTGGATGCACATCTATGTCCTGTATATCCAGGGATGTCCTGTAATGTTTGGGTCTGGAGATATCCAGGGGATGTCCTGTAATGTTTGGGTCCGGATATATCCAGGGGATGTCCTGTAATGTTTGGGGTCCGGATATATCCAGGGGATGTCCTGTAATGTTTGGGGTCCGGATATATCCAGGGGATGTCCTGTAATGTTTGGGGTCCGGATATATCCAGGGGATGTCCTGTAATGTTTGGGGTCCGGAGATATCCAGGGATGTCCTGTAATGTTTGGGGTCCGGATATATCCAGGGGATGTCCTGTAATGTTTGGGGTCCGGATATATCCAGGGGATGTCCTGTAATGTTTGGGGTCCGGCTGTATCCAGGGAGGTCCTGTAATGTTTGGGGTCCGGCTGTATCCAGGGGATGTCCTGTAATGTTTGGGGTCCGGCTGTATCCAGGGGAGGTCCTGTAATGTTTGGGGTCCGGCTATATCCAGGGGATGTCCTGTAATGTTTGGGGTCCGGATATATCCAGGGGATGTCCTGTAATGTTTGGGGTCCGGCTATATCCAGGGGATGTCCTGTAATGTTTGGGGTCCGGATATATCCAGGGGATGTCCTGTAATGTTTGGGTCCGGATATATCCAGGGGATGTCCTGTAATGTTTGGGGTCCGGCTATATCCAGGGGATGTCCTGTAATGTTTGGGGTCCGGCTATATCCAGGGGATGTCCTGTAATGTTTGGGGTCCGGCTGTATCCAGGGGATGTCCTGTAATGTTTGGGGTCCGGCTATATCCAGGGGATGTCCTGTAATGTTTGGGGTCCGGCTATATCCAGGGGATGTCCTGTAATGTTTGGGGTCCGGCTATATCCAGGGGATGTCCTGTAATGTTTGGGGTCCGGCTATATCCAGGGGATGTCCTGTAATGTTTGGGGTCCGCACATATCCAGGGGAGGTCCTGTAATGTTTGGGTCCGGATATATCCAGGGGAGGTCCTGTAATGTTTGGGGTCCGGATATATCCAGGGGATGTCCTGTAATGTTTGGGTCCGGATATATCCAGGGATGTCCTGTAATGTTTGGGGTCTGAATATATCCAGGGGATGTCCTGTAATGTTTGGGGTCCGGATATATCCAGGGGATGTCCTGTAATGTTTGGGGTCCGGATATATCCAGGGGATGTCCTGTAATGTTTGGGGTCCGGATATATCCAGGGGATGTCCTGTAATGTTTGGGGTCCGGATATATCCAGGGGAGGTCCTGTAATGTTTGGGGTCCGGAGATATCCAGGGGATGTCCTGTAATGTTTGGGGTCCGCACATATCCAGGGGAGGTCCTGTAATGTTTGGGGTCCGGATATATCCAGGGGAGGTCCTGTAATGTTTGGGTCCGGATATATCCAGGGGATGTCCTGTAATGTTTGGGGTCCGGATATATCCAGGGGATGTCCTGTAATGTTTGGGGTCCGGATATATCCAGGGGATGTCCTGTAATGTTTGGGTCCGGATATATCCAGGGGATGTCCTGTAATGTTTGGGGTCTGGATATATCCAGGGGATGTCCTGTAATGTTTGGGGTCCGCACATATCCAGGGGAGGTCCTGTAATGTTTGGGGTCCGGATATATCCAGGGGATGTCCTGTAATGTTTGGGGTCCGGATATATCCAGGGGATGTCCTGTAATGTTTGGGGTCCGGATATATCCAGGGGAGGTCCTGTAATGTTTGGGGTCCGGAGATATCCAGGGGATGTCCTGTAATGTTTGGGGTCCGGATATATCCAGGGGATGTCCTGTAATGTTTGGGGTCCGGATATATCCAGGGGATGTCCTGTAATGTTTGGGGTCCGGCTATATCCAGGGGATGTCCTGTAATGTTTGGGGTCCGGCTATATCCAGGGGATGTCCTGTAATGTTTGGGGTCCGGCTATATCCAGGGGATTTCCTGTAATGTTTGGGTCTGGCTATATCCAGGGGATTTCCTGTAATGTTTGGGGTCCGGCTATATCCAGGGGATTTCCTGTAATGTTTGGGGTCCGGCTATATCCAGGGGATTTCCTGTAATGTTTGGGGTCCGGCTATATCCAGGGGATTTCCTGTAATGTTTGGGGTCCGGCTATATCCAGGGGATTTCCTGTAATGTTTGGGGTCCGGCTATATCCAGGGGATTTCCTGTAATGTTTGGGGTCCGGCTATATCCAGGGGATTTCCTGTAATGTTTGGGGTCCGGCTATATCCAGGGGATTTCCTGTAATGTTTGGGGTCCGGCTATATCCAGGGGATTTCCTGTAATGTTTGGGGTCCGGCTATATCCAGGGGATTTCCTGTAATGTTTGGGGTCCGGCTATATCCAGGGGATTTCCTGTAATGTTTGGGGTCCGGCTATATCCAGGGGATATCCTGTAATGTTTGGGGCCTAGATCTATCCAGGGATGTCCTGTAATGTTCGGGATCTAGATTTATATGGGGACGTCCTGTAATTTTGGGATCCAGATCTGTCCAGGGGACTTCCCGTATTGTTTGAGACCTAGATCTATCTGGGGATATCCCTTAATATTTGGGATCCAGATATACAGTTTTGTCCATATGTATTTGGACACAGGCACAATTTTCATACTTTTGGCTCTTTATGCCACCAGAATAAATTAAAACAAAACAAAAATGAATTTGAAGTGCAGACTTTCAGCATTAATTCAGAGGATTGAACATAGATATCAAGTACAAATTTTAGGTACTGCAACCATTTTATACACAGTCCCTCCATTTTCAGGGGCTCAAATGTAATTGGACGAATGAATATAATCATAAATAAAATGTTCATTTTTAATATTTTGTTGAGAATCCTTTACTGGCAATGACTGCCTGAAGTCTGGAACCCATGGTCACTACCAAAGACTGGGTTTCCTCCTTTCTGATGCTTTGCCAGGCTCTAACTGCAGCTGTCTTCAGTTGTTCTTTGTTTGTGGGTCTTTCTGCCTTTAGTTTTGCCTTCAGCAAGTGAAATGCATGCTCAATTGGGTTGATATCAGGTGACTGACTCGGCCATTGCAGAATATTCCACTTCTTTTCCTTCAAAAGCTCCTGGGTTGCCTTTGCAATGTGTTTTGGATCATTGTCCATCTGTATTGTGAAGCGACGTCCAAGATGCTAGATGCTGCATTTGGCTGAATCTGGGCTGACAGTATTTCTAAACACTACAGAATTCTTCCAGCTGCTTCTGTCGCATCATCAATAAACACCAATGACCCAGTGCCACTGGAAGCCATGCACGCCCATGCCATCACACTGTCTCCACCATGTTTTACAGATGACATTGTGTGCTTTGGATCATGAGCTGTTCCAAGCCTTCTCCACACTTTTTTCTTCTCGTCGTTCTGGTATAGATTAATCTTAGTTTCATCCGTCTAAAAAATGCTTTTCCAGAACTGATCTGGTTTTTTTTTTAGATGTTTAGAGCTATCCAGGGATGTCCCGTAATGTTTGGGATCTAGAGGTATCCAGGGATGTCCTGTAATGTTTGGGATCTAGAGCTATCCGGGGATGTCCTGTAATGTTTGGGATCTAGAGCTATCCGGGGATGTCCCGTGATGTTTGGGATCTAGAGCTATCCGGGGATATACCATAATGTTTGGGATCTAGAGCTATCCGGGGATGTTGCTTAATGTTTGGGATCTAGAGCTATCTGGGGATGCCCCGTAATGTTTGGGATCTAGAGCTATCCGGGGATGCCCCGTAATGTTTGGGATCTAGAGCTATCCGGGGATTCCCCGTAATGTTTGGGATCTAGAGCTATCCGGGGATGCCCCGTAATGTTTGGGATCTAGAGCTATCCGGGGATTGCCCCGTAATGTTTGGGATCTAGAGCTATCCGGGGATGCCCCATAGTGTTTGGGATCTAGAGCTATCCGGGGATATACCATAATGTTTGGGATCTAGAGCTATCCGGGGATGTTGCTTAATGTTTGGGATCTAGAGCTATCCGGGGATGTTGCTTAATGTTTGGGATCTAGAGCTATCCGGGGATGCCCCGTAATGTTTGGAATCTAGAGCTATCCGGGGATGCCCGTAATGTTTGGGATCTAGAGCTATCCGGGGATGCCCCATAGTGTTTGGGATCTAGAGCTATCCGGGGATGCCCCATAGTGTTTGGGATCTAGAGCTATCCGGGATATACCATAATGTTTGGGATCTAGAGCTATCCGGGGATGTTGCTTAATGTTTGGGATCTAGAGCTATCCGGGGATGCCCCGTAATGTTTGGGATCTAGAGCTATCCGGGGATGCCCCGTAATGTTTGGGATCTAGAGCTATCCGGGGGATGCCCTGTAATGTTTGGGATCTAGAGCTATCCGGGGATGTCCTGTAATGTTTGGGATCTAGAGCTATCCGGGGATGTCCCGTGATGTTTGGGATCTAGAGCTATCCGGGGATATACCATAATGTTTGGGATCTAGAGCTATCCGGGGATGTTGCTTAATGTTTGGGATCTAGAGCTATCTGGGGATGCCCCGTAATGTTTGGGATCTAGAGCTATCCGGGGATGCCCCGTAATGTTTGGGATCTAGAGCTATCCGGGGATCCGGGGATTCCCCGTAATGTTTGGGATCTAGAGCTATCCGGGGATATACCATAATGTTTGGGATCTAGAGCTATCCGGGGATGCCCTGTAATGTTTGGGATCTAGAGCTATCCGGGGATGCCCTGTAATGTTTGGGATCTAGAGCTATCCGGGGATGCCCCGTAATGTTTGGAATCTAGAGCTATCCGGGGATGCCCCGTAATGTTTGGAATCTAGAGCTATCCGGGGATGCCCGTAATGTTTGGGATCTAGAGCTATCCGGGGATGCCCCAT